GCTATCTCCAGGGACACATGTGATTCGTGGTTATCATATATTAATAGGCATGGCCTTTCTTTTGTCACACCAGTATGTTTAATAAAGTGGTCTAACACCTCAACAAACAGTTCGGCTGTCATCCACTCACTTGGATTTGCTAGTCGTAATGTGCCTGGGGGCGCGCCATTTAACATATGAGGGACAAACTTCTTTCGGGGAAAAATAATTATCGGCGGTAGAAAAGTTCCGTTTGCTCTAATTATAGCACAAGTAGTGGCTAGTAATCCTCTTTCGGCACTTGTGCACTGGTTCAACTGTTTCACCTGTCCAACTGTTTTTGTGTAACTACTTTATGTGGACGCTGTATAGTCGTAGTAGCAGTTTTGTCAAAATTATAAATTTGAATTTCCTGAACAACTTCTGGGTTATCTTCATATATTTTCTGAAGCTGTAGGAAAAACCTTTCGACATTAGGTTTTGTAAAAGAAGTAAGCCTGGATAAAGAGCAAGCTTCTGGCTTTCTAATACTTAAGGACCTAGTTCTTTTAATAAAAGCTCTTAGCCAATCCTTACTCGCACACTTATTCCTTCTCCAGGTATCTGGCATATTAATATTGTTTCTGACCGCCATTTCATATGCCAGCTCTCTTACTTTTTGAGTATTTAACCCAAATGCCATTTTGCTACAGGTCTTTATATATTCAGATAAAGATCTTTCCTGCTCGGTGCTAAATATTAATCTAACAGCATAATTCAGTTCCATTTTAGTATTAGGGTCATTTCGTTCCTTTAGTACATAACGCCTTAATGTGACAAAATTTACATCAAACATATCTGCAGCAATGCGAAGGGAAGTCCCATTTGTTTTGACCTCTTGGACTGCTGCGGTCATTTGATCGCCTGTAAATTTAGCTCTTGTTCGCTCCTTCTTCTTCCTTACCATGGTTACCTACAACCAAAAATTCCACGGCCAGAATGACACAAGGTGGTACACAATGAAACATGTTTCATTGTGTACCACCACCCTATGTTTCAATGTGTACCAATACGCATTTTTTTTTAATTGGATGTAATTCTAAGACAAGAACATTTTTGGACAAAATATTTTATAGGTTAAGAAATGCATACCCTAATTATTCATAACAAATATAAACGGATACTAAAACTGCTTAATTGTAAATAACATACCTTTTTATATTGGCTTCTTTTTTTTACTTTAAGACACAAAAAACACAAATTTGGTCATGAAATGTGCACTCTTGCGAATATCAAATGCAACTAACGGGTGGCTGATGCAACATCATAAGACTCATCCGCGACAGCGCTAGTGGCGTTGTAGCGGCAAATTTAAATTGACAAATTGCAATGTTTCATTGTGTACCCCGTTTCAATGTGTACCACCCTCCCTATTAGAAAAATAAAATACGGTTACAGACTGAAGATTATTCCAACAAGCTGTGTCATTTTTCATACGTAGCAATGATACGCCCTGTATATATTACATTTTGTACTTAATTTCATTTATCAAATCGACTGTATCACTCTCTCAGCACAATACTGAGCCTCACTCACCAATCTGGCTCTAATGCCGACTAATTTTCACCAGAATATATGGAGCGAATTCCTCACCATTAATTAGTTAGGAAGAAATTTATGTCTGATAAAAAAGTTGCCCGGGAAGCTTGACCTTGATGAGCTGTATAGCAAGAACACAATGGCGGTACTTTTTTAAAATGTCGCTTCGATGGAACCTGTGCACCATTGGGCCTTTTCTCGGTACGATATTATGCTTTATCCGACAATTAAGCAGTCCAATGGGTGTTCATTAGCTGTTTATCAAGTGCCCGTTTCGAAATAATTCCCTCATTATCATTTCAGTTCTGAATAAGTTCCAGGAACTAAAAAATGCGATATGGAATGAAGAGTTTCGGTTTTTTGTTAAAGGAATGATGCTCAAAGAACTATTAAAAGTTGCATTATTGCATATTATGGGAAAGCTTCCAAGGTGTGGTTATTTTTTTAACACTTGTGGAAATAGTAAGTAACTGAAGAAGTGAATTGCAATTTGTAAATCGTTACAATTACAATATAATGTAGAAATACTATAAAGGTTTATCAAAATTGTTATTGATATGTGATTCTAGATCTTAGAACGAGTATATTGGCTATATTTTTAACATTATTGCGACGTATAAAGGTAAGTTTTTTCAAATATCTGCAGACATTGAAATATACAGGATGTAACTTTAAGTGGAGTTTTTTATGGTGCACTATCAACGTTGTCAGTTGTTTTTATATCAACCTACATTGTGGGAAGTGACAATGAACAATAATTTAGTAAAACAGATTGCTATAACTTAGCGACGTGTCATTTTAAAGTCACCAGGAGCAAAGAAGACGATTATGTACACTGTAAAAAAAATCACTCAAATTTCACTCAATTTTACTCAATAATGTAACAATTTCTGTCCATACTCGAGTGAGTGAAATTTTCATTTTATTACTATGAGTACAACTGAGTGAAACTATTGCGTCAGAAATGAATGACTTTTACTCAAATCTTGACTTGACTTTATTCTGAGTATATAAAACCAATTTAGAGTTGACTTTTTCTCTAATATGATTAAATTTAACTATTTATTCAGTAATTTTTTACTCAGACTTGGTTTTTAATTAACTAAATATGGAGTGCAAAAATAAATCACTGATAAATAATATGAATAAATGATTAATTAGGATATACAGTGTTGAAATGACTCCCCTTCGCGGGGCCTCTTCCTGTCCTGGCTGAGACTCGCCAGCTGCGACCCCCCGCCGGCTAAGGCCTGTTCTGACGATCACGCTTTTATGGAGCATCTAACGGGCCCCTATCAACTTTGGTCAATATTACAGAAACAATATGTAAGTGGTGCCATCTTCACAGCGCCATTCAAATTACTCGAAATTAATATGCCTACATTTAAACTCAATCAGTAATGAGGACATTTGCACTGATTTAGGTACAAGTGCACCAAATACGAGTTTACGTGAATAATTTATTTAAGGATTACCTATACAGGGGGTTAAAAAAAGAGTGTAAAATATTTCAGGAGGTAATAGTATGAACCAAAATAAGCAGAAAAGTCTTAATAAACATGGGTCTGCAAAGTAACGGTTGCGGAGATATGGACCACTATTCGTTTTTCAAACATTTTATTTTATTCAGGTTTTTCATTAAATATTTGGATGGGTATTGTAGGTGACAGGTTTCTAGGTCCTGTTGTTTTACCAAACCGATTAACAGGCTCTGCTTACCTCAACTTTCTGCAGAACACACTGTATGAGTTTTTGGAAGACATTCCTTTGAATCAGAGGCAACAAATGTGGTTCCAGCATGATGGTGCTCCAGCTCATTTTTCCATGGCCGTTAGAGAGCATTTACACCAAACTTTTCCACATAGATGGGTAGGAAGGGCCGGACCTGTTTTATGGCCTCCAAGATCGCCTGATCTGAACCCTCTAGATTTCTTTGTTTGGGGATATTTGAAGACATTAGTGTATGGTACTCCTGTAAATAGCCTGGAAGAGCTGCAGCTACGGATTAATCAAAAGTGTCAAGAAATCCAAACCAAGGAGGGTGTTTTCGAAAGAGTTCGAATATCGTTGAGACGAAGATGTCGTGCCTGCTTGGAAATGGACGGAGGGCACTTTGAACATCTTCTGTAACTTTGTTTTTTGTTTGTTAAAAGCTTCCTTTGTCGGTTTATTCCTAATAAAATAAAATGTTTGAAAAACGAATAGTGGTCAATATCTCCGCAACCGTTACTTTGCGGACCCATGTTTATTAAGACATTTCTGCTTATTTTGGTTCATACTATTACCTCCTGAAATATTTTACACTCTTTTTTTAACACCCTGTATTTGAGTGAAAGACTCAGTTTTAGTTTAAATATAATCACAAATAAGTAAAATGATCAAAATGCCCAATATTGAGTGAAAATGTACTTAATAATTTCACTGAATGGATTCACTCCGAAACTTTATTGCTTTCACTCACACCGATTTGTTTACAGTGTACGCCGACTTATAAGTACCGAATAAGAAAATGCTTGTCAGATTGGTAGCACGCCCACCCTGTAATATTCATGTATTTGTATATTATGTATATTTGTGGATGTATACAATGTAAAAGAATGTTTGAAAGGAGTCAGTAGTTACCTGGATTTGGAGGAAGCATATCTAAGTTATAAAATTCCAAACGAACTTCGCACTCTGAGGTTCCCCTAGTTAAAGGTGACAGGCAAAATTTTAAGAGCTATGTTATAAAAATTAGGTGAGTATTTTTGTGTATTTCATTTATCATTATTCACTACTGTTTGAGTTTTTTGCTAGATTCATAGTTTATCTTATATTATACAATTAATATTTCGTCCTTGTGGGATGATAGGGCTCGTAGCGAACACCCACTGGACTAAAATAACCCAAAAAGCAGTACCTCTCGGCGACTGGTGTGGCAATTTGCTCTTTAATAACCTTTCCTTTAAATATGAGATTTGACAACAATGCACAGACCAGTGCCCAACTGTGCATGCGCTACGGCTGAAGCGCCGTTATTTGAGATTACACTAGCTTGCCAGCGGAGGGGTATTAAAATTACTAAAAATAGGGTAAAAGAAAATTAAATTTTCACGTCGGAATTTGAAATAATAGACTATTGATACGTATTTCTGAAGATTAAAGGAAGCGTCTGTTTAAATATGATTCCCACTCAAAGTTACACCCTGTATATAGTATATAATACAAATAAATAAAAAAAACAAGGATATGTCAGAAAATGCAATGAAATTGGGAAAAAATTGATGAAGTAGTGCACACCATTTCGGTCAGCCGAAGACTAAAAACTTATAGCCATTATTAATATAAATATATTATTAAAACCAAACTGTCTAAGCTTTTTCCACAAACTATTTTGGTCATCTCAGCGTCAAATGCTTTTGATGTATCGATAAAGATAGATTCAAGTTTTAAGACATAAATACCTTCGGTGCTGCTCCGTCCGTGTAGACTGCAGTCCTCCTCCTTCCCCGGCCGGAGCGGACTCGTAGGGGAGGCTCCCCCAGTCGAGCTGACCGATCCCCCGGAGCTATGCGCAGAGCCCTGTAGGTAAAGGGGATGAGTGTGTCCGGAAACAACGTGCGAGTCCAGGCCGCCGACGCCTGTCGCCGCGGCGCCGCTCGAGCCTGGTTGGGAAAGGGAGTGGGCGTCCTGGTGCAGTCGCTGAACGTTGAACTGAAACGGGAGCAAATTTTTACTAAGTAACAGAAAATTCGGGATTTCAGTACCTACATAAAAATATCAGAGAAAAATCAGAAATTGATAATTTGGGGGGAACATGAATGTTTCAGAAAAGCATGAGAACCCTGTAAATTCACTTTCTGAGTGTGGTGCGTACAATATTTTTTATTTTGTCAAATTATTAATTTGACAATAATAGAACTATATCGGAATATTTTTGATCATAAATTTATATAAAAGATTTAACTTATTTGTTATTAATATTTATGTTGAAACGGCAATTATGCAAAGTACAGGGTGCCTCAAACTCGATAGTATGGGCCTTTGTATTTGGGACACGTGGTGTTAAATGGGATGAGGTAAGCTCCATTTTCAATCGAAAGGATTTGACAGAAACGACTAACGACGTCATCAATTATATATTTTTCCAGAAACATACCCAAATTTTTTTCCTGTTAAAAAGCTCTATTTTTTCTAATAAACTTTTGTTAGAGTAATTTTTCTGTACCTATTACTTCCCGGTTAAAAGTTATAAGTAATATCGTCCTAAAGAGTCTCAAAAGAAATACCACCAAAAAATCACATTAGCGGTGGAAGAATAAAGTAGTCGTTGGAAAATAATTGAATGTTTCTTGTTTAAAGTGCATAAATATCATTAAGAACAAATAAAAGTTTTAAACTCGATAATTCTTTAATACAATTAAAACAAAAGGTGATGATAACAATAACTAAACTTAAAAAATGAGGCAAACGCTTTCATATTACAATTTATTTTCTATATGACCTCCTCTCATTTCAAGACACATCGCGAAGGTGTTTTGTAAATCTTATTTTTTAAAACCTCCCATAAAAAAATAGAGGGGTGTTAGATCTGATGACTTTCCGGGCCACTGAATAGGTCCATTAAGCGCAATCCATTTTTCTGGCAAATGCACATTCTCCAGAAGTGCAGGAAGTTATTCTTGTAGGAAACTGTAATTCACGCTGGTCAATGTATGTTCATAAAAATGAGGCCTAATTGAATGGCTACCGATGATGCCGTATCATTACTCCAAAATGGCTTTAGTTTTGCACTGGATATTTTCACTGGGGATTTTCAATGGACCAGTAGTGTTCGTGCGCCTGTTTGGCAAACCATTACTAACAAACCGACTTCCGTTCGTCCCAAGAACGTGCCGAAAACGATTCTGACCGACAGTTTCTACATTTAGTACAAGTTGAGCTATAAAATTAAGTCTGTTTTCAATGTGACACTCAGGCAAATAGTCCAAAATTGTGAATTTTATAGTCATGATACCCACTGGTCTTTAAAAATCGTTGAACGGCTGATTTACCCAAATTCAATTTCCAGCTAGCCTGCCGTATAGAATTTCATGGATTTTGTACCAAATAATAATAATAATAATTAATTTATTCACACAAACAATTTTATACATAATAAAATACAGCAGTAAGAACAATAGTGAATAAATAAGTAGACAATAAGTGACTAATCACTTGTTTTGTACAACAAAAGTAATAATAAAATATGTTAAATGAAACAACTTAGTAAATAAAAACGAAATCTATAATAAAAGTAAACTAAAGACCTAGTACAAACAAATTATTAAAAGATAGTAAGTATATAAAATCGCACAGAATTCCATACGCGTAGTTAAGTGTGTGCCGTACAGGACTATGCATAACATGTAAGTAGTTAAAAAGAATGGTCGGCACTTAAAAGTTAATGAAATATACTTTCGTACATCATTTACAATTTACATTCAATAATATCATTAACCATTACAACTTTGGGGCCATAACAGTATAGCAGCGTTGGGAGAAGGATTTAATTACTAAAGGTACGATATGATGGTCTTTATTACGAGTAAAGTAGTTATGACTAGGAACTAATGCCTTACTCTTATTGGTGTGATATTTTAGTAATGCACAATAATAATAAATCTGCCGAATGTCCATAATCCTACTCTCAGCGTATAGCAAGTCTGAAGAGTAATCATATTTTTTTCCAAATATTATCTTCAAAAATCTTTTTTGGATGATTTCAAGGGGGTTAATATGAACCCTTCGCGCAGAACCCCAAGCGAGAATGCCATATCGAATATAGCTTTCAGCTAAGGCATAATACAAAGTCTTCAGATATTTAATAGGTAGATAGTTTTTTAGGCATTTAAATTTATACATGATGGACTGTAACTTTCTAATTATATAATTAATATGAAAATCCCATTTAAGGTGTTTATCAATATAAATTCCTAGGTATTTAATTTCATTTACAGGATATATGGGGATCTGCTGACCTTGTAAGATAATATTAAGATGATCAAAGGGAAGAAGACAATTTGTGTTACAGCTAAATGGTATGTATGACGTTTTTGCAATATTAATAGTTAGTAGTCTGTGGTTTAACCAATTTTTTATTATCTTAAAATCAGATTCGACATTTTGTTTTAGTGTTGCCCAATCGGTATCTTCATAAAAAATTGCAGTGTCGTCTGCAAATCCTATTATCGTTCCCTCACTAGTCAATGAAAATACTGTAAAAGTCTAGCTGTATTAATATTGTTTCTCACCCTTCGGTCAATTATTTGACTTTTCCGAACAGAAAATGCATCTTCATTTCCTCGCATGGTCGCCTCCAATCTTGTAAAGATTCTATTATCAGGAATAGAGGCGCTCTGGATATCTTTTTCGATATAACTCTACAGCTCTTCTTGAATTTTTTGTGAGTCGTCGTAAATTAGCAACATATCAAATTTTTCTGAACGAGAAAACATTTTGTAAACACAAAAGCTTTACGTTTAACGTTCGTATTGAGTAATGGCAAGTATTTTGTGATGTATGTAATTGTGTAATTGCCAATAGATGGCCTCACTAGAAATATCTATTTTTGGAGCGCATTTTGTATAAATGTTTCTATAGCAGCCAAAGATAAAATCAGCTGTTTTTCACTATCACTATCACTATAAAGAAGTTGTTCCAATTTTTTATTATAATAATCAAAGGATCTCTAAAAATTCTAATCAAAATGAAGCAAGTGAACACAAATTATACTGTCCGATCTGAATTGGGAGACTTTGTAGGTATAATGTTATCCTTAGCTTATTTATTTAAAACCCAGTAAACTTACAATGCATGGGAAATCGCCATTAAGGAAACTAAACAAACGCATTCGATGTTATTGAAATTTTTTCACCAAACTAAAATGGTTACGTAAAGAAGTTGTATGTCGTTGACTTGAAAGACGTTTTTATATTTGTAATCAGGTACTGATCTAAGGTTGTCCGATACCGGGAATCAACTCTAGTGACAATTGTTGCTTTTTCTTTCGCGATACGCGGTATGCGATGCCAACTATGTTCCCCCGTATTAATTTTATATGGCTTTTTTGCTCCATTCTTCAAATCCGCTCTGAAAAAGGATATTTCAAAGGCCTGCGGTCGCACGCGGCCGGTGTGTCGTTTCATTAAGTATTGATTTTAGGGTTTCGAGATAAATTATTCATTCACGTTACAGCCGGCCCTAGTTGCATTATAGGGCCGTGGAAATTATTAGTGACATTTGGACATATTGTCATCATTCCGCGGTGAATAAATGGTTATACTTCTCACAATTTATAAATTAATAAAACAACGTTTCTATATTATGTGTGTTCTGAAACGCTTTGTTTTCGAGACACAGAGTGTTCAAAATTTGTGAAAAAATATGTTATCCAATTTACAATACCTTGGATGAAAAAAAATTATGACATATACAAGGTGTTCTACAAGCTCTATGACAAGTTTTGACAGATGGCAGCTGGGTTAATTTTAAACAGTTTTTCTTATAAGAACATAGGCCCAATTCGTTTTTTATTAGAAATTACAAACATTTTAAAAAACATAATTTCATATGTCAATCAAAGTTGATAAATAAAATGACGGTTGCTCAGTAACAATAACAATTATTATTTGTGTTTAAAGGTTAAACATTGGTTAACCTTTATTCACCAAATTAACAAATCTTAAGACTATAAAAATTGTTTAAAATGAAAATGTCGTTGTTTATAAAAAATTCACACATCCCCAAACTTAAAAAATATTCTTATTTTTTGAAACAATGAAAAATGTTTCTAATAGAGAAATGGTCGATGTCAATAGCGAATTTTATATGCAATGAAAGTATACAGGGCGTCCCAAAGTTCACGTCTGGGGCCCATAACAGACAAACGGAAACCGACAGTAAAAATCTGTTTATATGGCGTGAATAGGGAAACGCCATAGTCCGATTTGCATTTGAAAAACATGTTTTTAAAAATTCGGAAAATAAAGAAAATGACATCATCAACTTGTTTTCCACGAACATAACCATTTTTACGATAACTAAAATTATCTAATTTTTATGAACATTTTTTGTGCAGAAATTTCTCTTCACTAGCTCTTCTCTTTAGAAAGTTACAATAACATACATTATACAAAAATGTATTCTATTGTATTGGAACTAGTCATGAGTTAATCAACATTACTATGAAAAGCAATTGCTGTAACTCCTGTCATGAATTTGTTTACATATTAGTTGCTATGTTTTTCTTAAAAAAGGTCACTCCACAGAGAAAAATAGAACAATACACATAATGACGGTTAAATAGGATAACCAAATATAGAAATTATGAAACTATTTTAATTGTAACTAATAAATATAACAATAACTAATAACAAAACACAAAACAAAATATAAAATTATTATTATTACTTCTAAGCATTTATCTAATCTTTTCCCAACTTCCCTTGTAGCTTTAAACAACGTTTCTCTTGAAAGATTCTCACAAACATGCCGAATCTTTTGCTTTAAATGCATCAAACTTCTCGTGGGCGTCTTATATACTTTAATAATACTTTTTTAACGTTCTCCATAAAAATAGTCTACAGGCGTTAAGTCTGGAGACTTTGAAGCCCATTCTACAGGCTCATTAATTCCAATCCACTTAGTTCCGAAAGTATTTTTAAATAGTCTGT